AGTAGGTAATTAACAAGCTTCTGCAGCACTTGATAACTTGGTTAACAGGTGAATCAACATTCATTCGGGTATGTTGGAGTTAAGACATGCTGTATAGTGGCACTCCAGGACCAGGATTGCCTACCCCTGATCTATTTGTTATTCAACTTTGAAACTTTTTTGGGCCCCTGACAGCTGTGGGCCCTTAGAATATTCCTAATCTGTCACCGCTTCATGGCGCCCCTGATGTGCCTGCTGCAGTTTTTAACCCTCTCCTCCCCGACAGCGACTCACTGACCCAACTCTGTGCCCTAGCTGCTTAGATTCACTCCATGTTCAGCAGCACAGACCTGTGTGAGGAACTGTTGCCTGTGGTGAAGATGAAGAAACTAACACAGGAGTCTCACTGATGAACACCTTCTTCAGCTCAGAGCCGAACTCCAGAGATGCAGGTGTCTGGCTTGAAAAGGTGAGCATCAGAGTAAATCTGACCGGAGCATGTTATAGTTGTTTTTCCAAACAATGCAATACAAAAACTGTCATAAAATGAATAAAGATGAATACATTTTGAATAAAATACAAGTTTAACAACAAAATATTCGAAATTGTTTTTAATTTTTTTACATAAGTTTAAACTAACACTTCTTTCTGCTTTCCAGATTCCTGATTGATTTTATAATTTTTCATCTTTTCTTCTGCTCGTAAATGATAAACAACCCACACTTATATAGTGGCTTTCAGAGTCAGAGGACTTCAAAGAGCTTTACACTACAGTGTACCATTCATCCATTCACACACACATTCACACCCTGGTGGATGTGACCTACAATGTAGCTAGAGCTGCTCTGGGGCACGTGGGTGAGGCCTTCCAAGCACAGGTGCCACCAGTCCCTCCGCCACCAGCAGGCAAGATGGGTTAAGTGCCAGAATTCCCTGGCAGAGCTGGGATCGAACCTGCAACCTTCCGATTGCTACACATCCCACTCTACCTCCTGAGATTCTGCTGTCCTGCAGAATAACTGCAGGAGAAAGGATGCGTTGCTTTACTTTTTTTGGACAGTAGTAAAATAAGCATGGATGTTCATCCTTCTTCCCTCCCTTTACTTGAGCGGAGCTCAGATCAGCTGATCAGTGGCTCTAACCACTGTCCTCACGGAAGGCACCGAGAGCCTGAGAGACGAGCTGCTTTAAGACTTTATTATTAAAGGGGAGACGCAGCTGAAACTGTGAAGGGAAATTATTTGAACTAAATCACAGGAGATATCCAGAATATTTGGAAGCCTGTGTTGTAATCGTGCGTTAAAAACACGATTACCAAGGACAGTTTGCCACCCAACGTCAGATAACCAGCTTCATATAACAAACGTCGCCACGTCTTCTTTGCAAGTACTCGTTAAGCTGCTGCTTTCGTCCAAAGTGGACGCAGCATGAAAACATTAATGCGCAGTCGCAGTTGGCTGGTAGAGTCAAAATCTACAGGTGGCTACATTTATATCATATCAACTGTATGGTGTTTATACGGTACACTGCCACTACAGAACGGTTGAACCAACCTTCATCCGACAACTATGAGATATACGTTATCCTTTAAAACCAAGAACCTTTCTCTTGCCAGGTAGCAGTAGAACTCTGGGTTGTGGCAGAAAACATAAACTTCTATACTTCAGCAAAAAATAAAAAAAATAATTGAGGGCTTATGTGGATGAAAATGAGCTACATTAAACAATAAACTGCTTGTTATCCACAGACCGTTAACAAGTCAGTCTTACGGACTACGTCCATATAGTTGTTGCTTTCACTTGATCTGTCTCCTAAAGCATACGGCAGTAATTTAATGTTGCCTCAAGATTCCATTTGGCATTCATGTCATACAGTGTTGCCATAAACTGACAGTGTGTATTTTTCCTGGCAATGGGGGTGTGGGGGGTGGGGGTGGGGGTGGGGTGGGGGTGGGGGGGGGCAGTAGTTACCTAAATCATTGCAAGCAAGCAGTATTTTTATGTTGGAGTAAGTTCATGCTAATGGATGCCCTTTAGGGTCAAAAAGCCCTGGGGAGTGCAAACTTTAGCAAAATAACAAGCGCATCAGACTCCCTTTCATCACTGGCAACAAGTGAAGAGGTAAATGTGTAAAACAACAACATTTAAGAATGAGGAAAGTTTTGTAACCGTTTGTTACAAATCAGTAAATGCATTTTGTCCTCAAGGGCTCCTGTAGAAGGGAACATGGCGTCTAATATGGCGTCGCTTAGAGACTTATGGTGTTTCTCAATGTCAAGGCGCCTGGCCTTGCGAGGCGATGTCTTGCGAGGCCAGGCGCCTTGCTTACGAGGACACTGACCTTCCTTAGTCAAAGAAAAGGATTAAATGGAACAGACTTGCATCACATGACCGCGGCTTCCACGGCGGACACGTACTACCCGCTAGCCACCGAAGCTGCAACTACTAAGCTACTAACCAACCATAGATAACTTCTAAAAAACATTTAAAATTAGTTGACTTACTTTTAAACTTGAAATTTGCCCCTGGAGTAAAACGGAGAACACACGCCTTGGTAGAACATGAACTTTGGAACACATCTTTGCGGTTCCTGATGATGTATCTACTAGGCAACCAGGTTGGGGCCAAGAGATCAAGGCGAGGTTCCTTGGCTTTGAAAAACACCCTTAGACCTGCTACCGTGTATTTTAGACCTGATTTTTAGGATTATATGTTACAAATTCACCAATATGTTTCAACAACTGGGCATCATTTCATTAATTTTCATCAACATGGATGGATAGTTCCAGAAATTGATGGTAAAAACTACACATTGTCTCTTTAAAATTACCCAGAGAAACACAAATGACAGGAGTTAATTCTTAATAACTTCTGACTCAGAACACAGCACCTACCCTTTGTGTTTACGTCGAGTAGTCCCACTCTGGACATATCTAATCAGTAAGCAGACTGAACGGTTGCAACAATAAGTGCATTTTTCTGACAAAATAGAAGTTAAAACCACCAGAAGTCAAAACATCACCTCTGGCTTCCTCCAGTATAAATGGCCTGTATTTGAAATAGTGCCTTCTAGAGTTCTACAACCCCCCAAGGTGCTTTACAACACATCAGTTATTCACCCAATCACACACAAAGTGGCACACGACAATGTAGCAACAGCTGTGCCGAGCTTCACTGACCAAAGTGAGGCTACAACACAATTGGCGCCACCCGCCCCTCCAAACACCAACAGCAGGCAAAGAGGTTAAGTGTCTTGCCCAAGAACACTGCAACTGTGACAGTCTGAGTGGGGTGCAAACCTGCAACCCTCCATTTACAGAGCAGGTAGTTAACTCCTCTTTCACCATTGTTCAATATAAGGTTCAATCCAGCTCCCCCCATGTAGATCAGTAGGACATTGTCCTTGACAAAAAATAACAAAAAAGGCTCAAGATGTGTTGACTTTGTTGATTAGTTCTCACCCTGCTGTTTTAAGTTCAAATAATCACTTTTCTTATACATTTAAAAGCAGTTTAAAAGCATCACATGAGGATTTAGATGCTTGTAGGAGCAGACTAACATGTTTTAGCTCATGTTGGTGACAAGTTCCCTCACTGCTCGCAAACAGAAGAGGGCTGTGGTTGGTAGGGACACATTTTGGTTTGCTTGCTGTTTCCTCTGTGTCGTAAGACCAAACAACAGAAAAAAACCTGCAAGTTAGCAAACTCAATAACTGATCAAAACCAGAGGAACCTAACGAAAAGTGTGAAAATGCCTTAAAATGCAAGGAAACGTTCAAGGATTCATTTTCTAAATGGACCTGTTTGCATTTCACGTGAAGTTAAACTGTCCTTTCCATTAAATTGACAAAACGTGATTCAGACTCCAAGTCAGAAAGTTCCGTTTTTATGTAAACTATTTTTATTGTTTCTACTCCTCTTCATTATCAGCGATACATGTCTGTATAGACAAAACAGAGCTGCGCATCAGAGCGTAAGATCGAGGACGTTTGGCATTGTGGCTAAAAACTGAATCCTAATTATCTCATGAAATCATTTAATGTCAACCCCAGTGTGGGCTCCAGTCGGGGGGACAGCTGAACAGACCCAGCCCTCTGCTGAGAGATTCATTTCTGTCAGCTTAAATAAACCTGCTGGCCATCACAGCACTGGCACACACACACACACACACACACACACACACACACACACACACACACACACACACACACACACACACACACAGGTCCTGATGAAGCTATCCTGTCTAACCTCCATTGGAAAAAGACAGGAGACCTAAATGAACACCAGATTTCATTACTGCTTCCTTTTTTAGCTCTCACATGGTGCATCTGTTTTTTCTCCAGAAAATCAGTTTTATCCTTTTCAGGCATTCCCAGTTGCCATCACTCTTTCCAGTGGTTAGTGATCCATCAGCTTGGCCTCAATTGGATTTTATATGTGTGTGGTGTAACCCGTTTTCCTTCTTAGGTCAAACTCCAGACTGTCTTTAAATCAGTCGTATTATAACAGACATAGTGTACATAGTGGGTTTCACGCAGACATGAGTGCAGCAGTGTCCTAGATTCTTAAAGCATCATATCTAGTACAATTTGGTGCCATCCGATCTAAACAATTCGGGGGGGGGGGGTCTCGCATGTTCTCGAGTCTGAATGTTTTCTTTCAAGCACACTGAATTCCTCCCACAGTCCAAAAACATTTGGCATGCTAAATTGAAATGTAATTATAAATGCTTTGAACTTTGTAAAAGCTGTTTTTAAGAATCAGACACGTAATTAGATGCAAACCACCTCCATTGCAGGAGTAGGCTAAAATGTTTTTGGAACTCAGACATGTGTTTTAGCTCAAAAAACGCATGTTGGTGATGTAAATATATAGTCTGCTTATGACCTAGAGACAGAGCTGGGTCGTAGGTCAGAATCTATGGTTTTCTTTTTAATTGTCCCAGAACAACATGACGTACTCAGAGCTATGGATGTCAGTCAACGGGGCAGTCCAACGTTGTTGCGGTCACTGCCTGTGCTTTTAAGTTACTGCTGCATTCTCCTGTTTGCAGTCCAGCCTAGCGCTGAGCATTCAGCAACGTGAACAGCTCCTCTCAGGATGTGCCCTGTGCAAATCAGCACCTTGGATAGCGCCGCTTTAGTGGAGCCATCCGCCTTGCACTGGATACGCCTCGTCGTGGATAAACAAGCAGCACCTTTAAAAGGGACTTGCACTCAGGTGGAGAGTGAGGATGCAGATCTGTGTTACACCGGTATCACACTGGAAGCATCAGCGACGTGAAACGGTGTACTCACGAACTTCAAACCGGTCCTTTTCACACCAGGAAAGTCTTGGCAGCAGCACGGCTTCCTCGCTGTGCTCTTCGCTGGACTCGCAAGATTACAAGATCCCTCGAGACTTCAGGTCACATTTTGTTTATGCAATCCGCCATTTAGCCAAAAAGAAGGAAATCACGTGATATATGATGTTGTTCCTCCAGAAATAAAGCCATGAAATACACCGCTGCACTTCTGGAGCAATGTTGTGAGTAAATAAGCCGTTGGATTAATCGTAAGCTTCATATATATAAAATTGCATCACTGCAGTACTTTTATTTTGAAATTTATGATTGATGAGAGCTAGTTAACAATAGAGCTAGTTAAACGTGCAACAATGTGATAATTCAATTAATGTAATCTATAAATGTCCATTAAAATATAAAAACTGGAATCAAAATGAGATATTTGGCAGAACAAAAAACTTGTCAAACACAATATTTCTTATAATAATTGTAGGCAGACAGGAGACAGAGCTGATGGAGGTTCTCAGTCATCGAAGGATGGCTGAAGGCTTTCCAGGAACAGGAGATGTGGTGTTGTCTCTTCTCTCTCTATTCTGCCAGATGAGCTGATAGGTTACAGGTGTGTGAGGACATCCTCATGCTGTCACACACAGATGACATGAGTTATCAGGTGATCAGCCAGGCTAATGATGAGGTGCAGAAAGAAAACAAATCCAGGACAAATAATAACACTAATATGTGGTGTGGCTCACCTTATGTGCTCTTATAGAGTATTAACGTGTGCCTGCCTCATGGTGTAGAGTCCATATTTTGCTGAGTGTCCTGCAGTAATGCAGGTTATTATTTTACTTTTGATAGCAAAAACAAAATATTTAATGTAAAAGTTATTTACCAGGTGAATCAGCTCACACGTCACCACCAAGTGTCACAGGACCAGAATCAGTAGCCTCCTTCAGGATGTCATGATGTAATCTAGCTCCAAGCTTGCAGCAGCAACACACGTGTAGCAATAAGCTATGAAACAAAAACATAGTTAATGTTAAAACTCAAAGGTTGTAATGATGATTAAAAACAACTCACCTTTACTACACAGTCTGACAACAGAGTACTTTGGTTCATTTAGCCTGAAAAAAAATATATATATATAACATCACAGTGTTGTGGGAGGTCACTTCCAGAGATGATGACAAACATGTGGAGAGCAGAGCAAGGATGGAGCTACAGGTTTTTCTGCTAGATCAGGAAGCCCTCAGGTAAAACGGGAGGTTGGTGTGAGTCTGGGAAGATACTCCTCTTCAGTGGTGACCTGCCAGTCTGAGACATGAGAAAAAAACAGAATACAGAGTACAATATTATAATTTAGAATGTTTTTACCTAGAACAGTTCATAGAGCTTGTGCTGTCATTCAGATGGAGGCTGCTCAGAAGCTCTCCACCACACCTATATACAGCCAACTTTGCGTCAGTTTATGTACTTCCATGAACACACACACCTGCTCTATATTTGACTTTGATTGGCTGTTGTTACTCATTTCAAGTCACATTTGGCTATACAGGGCCCGGGGCCAGGGATAGCAAAAAGATAAAAAAAAAAGACATGTTGGCTATTTATATCATAGAAAGAGTAAGACTAGCACTTTTACAGATTCATGAAAATGTCATAAATAATTCTTAAAAAGGGAAAAACTCTGCTACAATATCAAATTTAGAAAAATGAATTAAATTAGGTTATCATGCCTCTTAGCAATGTTATAACATAGTATGACTATAAATAGATTGTATGAATTAAAGTAGAAAATGGAGAAAAAATGAATAAAGTGGTTCGCTCTCATTTGTCTAAAACTTTCCACCAATAACACGGCTTGGACTGAAAGCAACTATTGGCCCATCTGGTAGTCGGTCTCGCCAAACCGCCACATTCTGCTCTTATCTGGGTCCATCACTGAGGTTCACAGTTCATTAATATCAGAGAAGGAGACACAGCTGGCTGCTACCACTTCAACTTTGGGACAAATTACCAGAGGAACATAAAGAGAGACACCATTTGAAGTCACGGACAACAAAAGATGTTTGGACTTAGAAAACAGCGACTGGTATTTAGCACGTCCTCGTTTGCTCTGACAACACAGCTTTTGGGTTCTGGTAGAAGTGTGTGTTTACGTTCAAAAGTAAGCTTGTTCTGTAGATTTGTTATAGCAGCTTTATTGACCGGAGATCTGAAATGCTTTGTATCTTCTCACAGAAATAATGAACAAACACACTTTGGCTATTTTGGACACTTTGTTCGATTCACATTGGCAGGGCCCTCAGTAGCGTGTGTGAGATCCTCACTCAGCCACAACATTTTGCCTTCTCTTCATTTTGGTCACCAGTCTGTTGACATTTTACCATTTCTCAACCAGGACTTGTTGAAGGTCAACCCGCGTGTCGGCGTTTGTCACTCTAGTTTATGCAGCGTGACTAAGATATAGTCAATCAGGGATAGCTCAAAACGTTTAAATACTAAAAAAATATTTTGGAAATGTTGGCATATTTACTGAGCAATATTTAGGAAGCTGAGCAGTTGTCACCATCTGTTAGCTTTAAATGATCTATCAGAGCTTAATAAACAATATTAGTTCCTGTATGAATCCATGTGCACTCTTGTGAGTGTAATGTCACGTTATACATCTCTACATCAGTGATGCACAGGAGCTCTTTTCTTACTTTCTTAAATCATTTTTCTTTTTATTATTATTGTTATTTTTATTTTTTTTAATCCCTTGTCCTGTCTGGCTGTGAAGCAAGCAGAATTGATGTCTGAATGCTGGTAACAAGCCTTACAGATTTACTCTCAGGTGGAGCATCAAAGCGTCTGCTTTTAATGTCACGCCTGATACTTTAAACTGTATTATTGCTTTTGAATGCTTTGTAATTCCGACCAGACACGGAGACAGAGGTAAAAGAGAAAGGAAAAGACACGGGGGGGGGGGGGGGGGGGGGGGGGGGGGGGAATAGACAACAATGAACAAGAGTCTGCTTCTAGACCTGCAGAAAGAGAGAAGAAAAAAAGCAAAAAAACAAAACAGAAACAAAAAAAATGGGACACAACAATACAACAAGAGCAAGCTATCACTGCGTCAACTTGATGAAGAAAAATATAATCAACATTGTTTAACTGAACAATCACACGGTGATGGTAAACAAACACAGTGCATTAAGTGCTCACCATAGTCTTAAGACATGTGTTGAACGTGCCCAAGTCCATACTTATGAGAGCACCATGTGAGCACCTGTGTGTGTACACACGCTTGTTTATGTAAGGTTTCTCTATAGGAGCGTCCAACAGAGAGTGTGAGGGACCACAGATCTGCCCCCCGAAGATGCGTAGGAGACGGGGGAGCTCCAAGTCCCAGAGATCCAGGCGCTGTCCCAGAACACAGGAACCCCAAGGAGACTGCAACCAGAAAGGGCCCCGCCCCCCTCGAGGGGCACAAAGGATCGTCCCGGGGGGCCACAACCAGCAGCCGGCAGAGCCCCTGGAGATCTCGGCGGCAAGCCCACACGCCGGCCCGCAGCCTCCCACCCCCTAGCCGGTCGAGCCCGGGACCCAGCGGCCCGGGACCCAGGGGTGACCACCCCCGCCGGGGACCCAGCAGAGCCCAGGGACCCAGACCCCACCAGGCCGCCACCGGGATTGATCAGGCAGACGCCAAAAATCTTAAACTCCCTGACCCAGGAGCCACGAACACTCAGGCAGACCAAGGCACCACACCCCACATCAGGTGTGGCAGGGGAAGGGGAGACGAAGATCTATGTCATCAAAAGAAGTCCCAGGACAGGGGAGGAGTCAAAGGCCCCACCTGACATATACAGTCATACACAAACACAGTCACACACTCCTTCCCTCATGCTCACACATGCACATACAAGCAAAGACTTACAAAAATGCACGCCGGACACCAGGCCCGGAGTGGCTAATCGGGAGGGTCTGGAGAATTCCCGGTGGGCCGCGCGATGTTTGGGCCGCATGGGCCGGTGCTCTCGTTTTTGTTTTTTATCATTTTATTTTTATTTTTTGGTGCCGGTGTTCAGTCATGGCACTGAGGCCGCCGGGCTGATCTCATACGCTCCTCCCGGCTGTCTCTACCTGCAGGCTGCAGCTCATTTTTTTTTCTTTTTCCCCTATATGCGCCTGTGCGCACCACGTGACCACGCAGTTGACGGAAAGATGGAAAGTAGAAAGAGCAAGGGTGGCGCAGAGAAGGCAAGAATTAAAAAGAGGAAAGCGCTGGAAACAGATGCAGCTAAATGTGCAAAAATGAGCACCTTTTTTTCTCAAACAAGCTTGCGGTCTTTAACTTACAATGAAGGTAAAACGGGTAAGGCAAGTCAAGATGTTAAACTTTACCGGCTGCAAATCACCATTCAAGTTAATTAAGCATCAATAATGAATTATATGGCATCATGGCATAACGTTATGTAATATAATTAACAGTATGATGTGACTGATGCCACCAAACTGTCTTGTCAGAGTCAAACACAAGATCCAGTAGGCCTAATAAGCACCAGGCAGAAGCCCACAATTCCAGAGCGGACATGTACAGGTAGGATTATTGAGTCAGTGAACTGAATATTATTAAAATTTATATGATGAAAACTATCCTGGCTCTATATGAAAGTGTTCTAAAATGCTAGATGATTCTGCATTGATCAGAAAGCGTGTAAAAAAGGAAAATGAATGCTGAATTGTGACAATTTTCACACAATGTAGTGTCAGAAGAAGAGCCAGGAGCCAGCAGTGAGGGTATTGCTCCTGTTGGGATAGAAGGTGAGCCAACTCATGTGCAAACAAGCAAACATCAGTTTCATTATAATAATTTTAATGTCCAAATAATAGTAGTGACCTGATGTATTTTTATTAGTAAATGCACAAAGCCCACAACAGATCGCTATTAGAATGAAAGTAAAATTAAATAAGCCTGCATATTTTGCCATAGAAAATATTTTAATTGGTTACAAAAAATGTGTTTTCCATATCAAATGTGCTAAAGCTTTACAGATGATTATTTTAATTGTGTGCAGGTGAGTATAGGGAAACTGGAAAAAGTGTGAAAGGGAGTGCTGAGTCATTTCATTTTAAAGGTTTGAAAATCTCAGAACAGCTGTTTGAACAGAAGGTAGATTGTTATATTGTTAGAGAATGTGTTGTAAAGAACAATGTTGGAGATGTGCACTGATGTTCAAATAAACCTACATTGTAAAGCAACTCTTTCTTGCACTGAATTACAAGGCTTTACCGAGTAGTGTGCTTTTGTAGACTATACATATAAAGTTCTAACATGATTTTAATAATAATTCGTTAAGTGGGCCAGTCTGGGGTCTGAAACTCCAGGGCTGAAAATGTGTCCCACTCCGGCCCTGCCGGACACCACTCATGCTCCCCATACACACCCTATTAACTCTGGTCCCGGTACTGCTGCACATGGGGTACAACCATCACCAGTTACCAGAGTTTGACCCTTTCTGCTGGGAGTGCTGGTGAGCAGGCTCCCCCGCCCAACGCTGAGCACAGCAACCCACCACCCCAGACCCCAACCAGACGACCAGATCTCCCTCCTAGCCTCCAACCCCGGGAAGCCAAGCAACAACAGAGGTGTGCTAAGACCCCTAGTCTCCCTCCACCTGCTCACCTGCAAATCATTTTTTTTCTAATTCACTCTCATCCTACTGTTAATCAAGCCTGTATTGACTAATTCACAGAATTGTATGTTAAGCAACAAGCCAAACTTCTGTTTCAGGAATCTCTCACCTTTCAAGAACTGACATTTGCCCAGATTTCTTGTATTTTTCCTCTGTCCCACAAACGTTGAATGTTTAGGTTTTAATTTAATGGTGCAGAGAAGAACCTCACTATTTTGAGCCTGGCAGGTGATTCGACTAAAATATTATATGTGACAAGCCTGGTAATGAAATATTCAAGAAATTCCAAAACGAGTTACAAGGAAAACCAGAGAGAGCAGGAAAAGGACAAGAATACAAAGTCTGTGACTGAAATCTGAGACTATATATATATATATATATATATATATATATATATATATATATATATATATATATATATATATATATACATATATATATATATATATATATATATATATATATATATATATATATATACACATACATACATACATATATATATGTATATATATATATATATATATATATATATATATATATAAACACTGAGGAAGTAGATGACTAACAAAGACTAGGTATTTTAATGAATACCTCATGTTCGATATGTGGGAACAGAAAGTATTCACATAA